TGAAATATATTTCTTAAAATTATATGTTTCCATCAATAACAAATAAAAAAAAATCAAATACAGCATCAACTTGAAGAAATTATTTTTTCTGGGTGTAACACTTCTATCTAATTTCATATTTGAAACATGGGATGGCGCCATGTTCGTATAGCCAATGATACCATATGTATTTAAAAGTGTTATTTCGGTCTCAATGGTAACATTCATCAGTAACAACACTTCTACTATCATTGAGTATATTATCTGGAGATTACGTTCAAATTGTACATCCATTTCCAACCATTTCAACTCCTTGGTCTTAGAGGAGACATTCTTTGGATTCTACACCGATTCATCGAGTCGAGGCAAGGATAATATAAAATTAAAGCATAGTTAAGGCTGGACATTATCAAACTTTCAACCAGCATTTTACACGTTTTAAAGTTCAAAGTGAATCTATACTAAGTGACATATAATGGTTTTATTTTAATAAAATTTTGTATAAGTACTTAATGAAGCATAATAAGTAAATGAGAAAAAAATTTCAAAATGATTGAACTGCTTTAAAGCCCTTTGACCTTTAATAATGTGTGGATGCACGCTGATGTGCTACGCATTCTCCAACGCGCCTAGGCATGCTTCTGATCAGGTGGTCAATATCCTCCTGTGGTATCTCATTCCAGGCAACCACCAACTCCTCTCGAAGTGCTTCTAGAGTCTGAGGAGGACGTTGCAAATTGAGCAATCTCCTACCCATTATATTCCACACGTGCTCAATTGGGGATAAGTCGGGAGATCTTGGTTGCCATGGTAACAATGTGACATCATTATGTTGAAAGAAGTCTATTGTGACTCTTGCAACATGTGGTCGGGCATTATCTTGTTGGAAAGTTGGATCTGCCAGGGTGTCAAGATAGGGTAAAAGATGGGGTTCTAGAACTTCGTGGATATAACGCTGCGCGTTCATGTTACCTCTGATGAAGATTAAAGGTGACCTGGAACCATAAGCTATAGCACCCCAAAACATAACTCCAACAGTGTGATGAACATGTGTTTCAACAAAAAACTGTGGATTCCTCCTTTCACCACGTCGCCTTCTAACCCTGGCACGACCATCGTGCATGCCTAAACAAAATCGAGACTCGTCAGTAAAGACAATACTGTTCCATTCCTGATCCCAGAGTGACCGTTGTCTGCACCACTCAAGGCGATTACGTCGGTGTTCTCGAGTTAAAGGGAGGACCCAGTGTGGCCGGTATGAAAACAAGCCAAAACTTCTCATTCGTCGGTTAACACTTCGCATGCCAATAGGTCTTCCATGCTCTGCAAACCATTCATTTGCAATGGACCTGGTAGTGGAGAAACGGTCCCTTAAGGCCAATAAACTTAGGCGGCGATCTTCACGGTCTGTTGTTCTACGGCGGCGTCCAGTGCCCCTTGCTCTTTGCGTACGGCATTCTCGAAGCCATGCCTGACAACACCTAACCACAGTGTCTACACTTCTTTGCACTCTAACTGCAATTGCCCGAAAAGAAAGTCCAGCTTCCCGAAGTTCCACTATACGGCCCCTATCAAACTCACTAAGTTGACGAAATCGTACAGGTCTCCGTACTCTAGGCATCGTAACCGATCGTAAAGGATGTCAAGAACCAAAATCCGCCAACGTTGATTCTTTACTGCGGCTGAAATATTCATTTTTAGAGCGTTAGTGAATTAAAAAAAAGCAGTATAAACCGGAATGTCCAAATGATAAGGCTGAACATTTTTCACTTGTTATTTACAGTAAGATAAATACATTCACCAACTTTTATTAAAATAAAACCATTTAAACTGAGTATTCGGATTTATATGTCACTTAGTATACAAGACATATCAGTGGAGGATAAAAAAAAAATTAGATCACTGAAACATGGGAACCAACAAATACATTTCAAACCTTTATGAACTCGAACTTAACATAAAATATTAGCATAACAAAAGCTGAATTTTCAACCCGTTTCATTTACAAGGCGTCCACAACTAAATCTTTTTAAATCGTTCCAAAGCGTAAACGTACCTCCGAAATCTGTCACTCATGTATGTCAAATCACTGTTACTGGTACAAGATTACCGTGATAAGATACACTTTAGGTAAGCGCAGTCCCTGAAATTTCTTATCTAGAATCGTAATTATGTCGCAGAATCACTTTTATCTGAATAGTTTCCTTGAATCCGCTGGTTCCGGGTATTTGAGCGATTAAGTGTTCCTCAAATCATAGCTATGAAATACTGTATGAAGGTTCATCGTTGCCCCGTAAAGATTGCGAATTATTTATTTATTTAGGGAAAAAGTAAATTAGCAATTTATTAATGATATTATTCGTGTTTTCTCAATGACAGTTATTTATGTCGCAACACCGGAAATGCTACTTAGTTCACGAAGTATCCTTGCATCCGCTGAGGTTTTTTGCTTATTCAAAATGGACCCGTTTTTCCTAATCCACATGTTTCCAGATCCAAAATTGCGTAACGAGTTGTTCAAACAATTTTTAACAAATTTCGTTTTGTTCAGAGTTTACCTGATGTCTGGAAAGAAGCAAAATACTTCCTCTGGCCTAAATAACATTGTTACCATGGCCACCAAGATCACCCGATTATTAAAATAAAACCATTTAAACTGGGTGTTCGGATTTATATGTCACTTAGTATATGTATATGTTTTCTGACGTATTCAATGTCAATGAACAATAACTATCTATCTATTAATGCAGTAGAACTGAAGACTGGCACCATTTAAGAAAGAACCATCTGTGAATATTCTCATCTTCCAAGCATTTTTTTTATACTCCAACTACCACGAAGGCCGAAGGTCTAAACACCCATTGGGTACCGTGGGGCTATAAGGGGATACAGGGGAAAGGGGGAACGCCACACGGACTCTGGCGAGGGAACACGTGTGCATGCAACATGCACACATTCTGGCTCCGCCTACGAGATCCGCCGGGTGGTACCTCCGCGTTCGACAGTCAGAAACCGTCTACCACCTACGGACAATCACAACATCCATAGCCAAGAGAAAAATTTCTCCTGGGATGGGACTCGAACCCGCACAGCGCACGGCGACTGATCAGGAGACCGAAGAGTCTACTACTGCGGCCACTGCTGCTGCCTATTGTGGTGATTCAATTGGTGGTCTATTAATTTCTTTCTCTCTTTTCTTCTAAGCTTCTTGTGTCGACTTTTTTGCAACTTTCTGTTCACTTCAAGGTGTACAGAAAACATTTAGTAGCGAAAACTTTGAAATCTGGAATATTTCACTTATAATTTTCGTGTACCTAAGTTTTCTAAATATATAGTTACATAATGATATGCCGTAATTAATGACATTTATATATATATATATATATATAAATATATATATATAACTTGAGACTCCTATATAATAATAATAATAATAATAATAATAATAATAAATGGCTTTATTCGAAGAGACAATGCATACACAAATTCAACAAATAGGAATAATTGCTCTCGAATCTCAAAGTTATTGTTTGTTACTTTTAAAAATGATTAATAAATGTTGTGCGTCCATTGAATTGAATTTTCTTACAGTTTTTCGACATGGTTCTTTATTTCCTTAAATACGAAATAATTTGAAGAGACAAAAAAGTTGTACTTTCATCTAGTTAATTAAATAAATATATATATATATATATATATATATATATATATATAATTAAAGCTTCCGCCTTTTGTTGGGTACTTCGACAAAATTTAAGCAAAGAGGACTCTTTATACTTTTTTAATTCTCTCTAGCTTTCAATGGACTTTGCCATCATCATCAGGAGAGTAGTATGTGAGGATTTTTAATCTGTTTTTAACTTGTTCTTGTTATATTTTATATAATTTTGACCATTGTACCATCTATCCAGCTCTCACCATGTTACTGGACGTTTCCCTCATCCTATACGTAAACAACAATTAGCAACATCCTCACATACTACTGTAAGTTGAGTCAATTTAAATTCATTTTACACTTTTGTTGCTACTGTTATCATTGTAATTGCAGCTCCTGATGATGATGGCAAAGTCCATTGAAAGCTAGAGAGAATTAAAAAAGTATAAAGAGTCCTCTTTGCTTAAATTTTGTCGAAGTACCCAACAAAAGGCGGAAGCTTTAATTTTTCACCTAACTGGTCTAGACGACAATGACCACGTCTCAAGTTATATATATATATATATATATACAGGGTGGCGCATCGAAAACGAAACAGACGCATTTACTGGCAGCTCGGTTGTTTTTGGAAAAACGCTAAGACCCGTCAATTTTTGCCACAAAAAAACGCTCCAGTAGCTATTTTCAACAACAAAATGATAAACAAACAGTGGGAGGACTGAAGAAAAGCATTTACATATTAAGTAAATTCTTTTAGTGAAATTTCTTCTGAAAGTAGTACAAACTAATCTGATGTACCTATTAAAGTCTACTTTAAGCTTTAAATCAATAAATCTTCAAAACTACTGAACTGAAGCTCATATATTTTACATCATTATAAAGGGAATTAAAAGACGTTTAAAATAAGGTATCACTCGACCCCCCTTTCCATTTAAGATTTTAGGGTTGGTGTCACCCCCGCCCAGAGGGCTGCTCGTGTTAACGTGATTTTTTGCCAAACTTGTGTCCCCCTCAAAATCAAGATCGACGAGTCTTTTTCCAAAAAAAAACTAAACTGCCGGTAAATGCGTCTGTTTCATTTTCGATGCGCCACCCTGTATATATGTATATACTTTCAAGTCATTAGCGTACATTTTTTGCCAATATTATTATTGAGACTGTCCCCTGAGACGTCTCTGGAATAATTATTCATATATTGATCACTTAAATTGATATCAACGGTCAGAAATAGAAAACTGTAAGTTTCGAGTCAGAGTTCCAGTCAGAGACATGAGAATTTTTTTAAACTTTATATAAACTTTTCTATTTAAATTCTATTTAGGAATGCGCCCTTGTTATAACGACCTATCATTAAGTAATACCCTTCATTTTATATCAATGCAAGGGAAGTGCTAAGCCCATTTTTTGTTCCAGCCATGCCCGATGACCCCCAGCCGACGGTCATCTCAACCACCAAGACAAAGTCACATCCCCCCACAAGAGACGAAGAGGATGACGTCATCTCGAACGCCATTGGCGAATTCGGCAAATGGCAGCTGCTTCACACCTTCCTCTTGTCACTGTTCAACGTGCCTTGCACGTGGCACATTTTTGCACCCACCTTCCACGCGGCGGAGAGAGACACGTGGTGCGCCAGGACGCATGCGTATAGGTGAATATTGTTTTTTACTTTCTACGCCTGCGGGCGGAAAATTCAGAATATGAGATTTTTTTGTCTGTCCGCAACTGTCTTCAACTTTTCACACAAGGTTACTACTATAGGAAGGACGAAAAAGCTCTGTACTTTTTTGGAAATTGGTTCAGTGACGGAGGAAAGAAATGTGGAAAAATAAAAAACGCCCAAACATCGTTTTTTGACGTTTTAGAGTACCCTGATCGATTGTAGTTTTTTGATGTTCTCTAATGCCAAAATCACCATTTTTATTCCCGGTGGTTACAAACCAACAGAGCTGAATCGGAGTAATTTGAGAGCCGATTTTGAATATGGCCATCACAAAAGCTAGTCCTTAGGCTAAGTCCATTTTTGTCTAAATTGACATGACAATATTGTGAATATTTATTCGATACTTACTGAACCTAAAGTATTAAATTTTAACTTTGTGTAATTTGAGCGAAAGGTTTCATACGCAAAAATACAAAAAAAAATATCCCAAGCAAAATTATCTCCAGACTACTTATACAGGGTGTTTCAGTTTATTGTTGCATAACTTTAAGATTCGATTGAACTTTTAAAATTAATGCATAAAGTCTATATAAACATGGATCGAAAAATGCGTGGCTTCCGAAATACAGGGTGTTTAAATTTACTTTTTAAAATAGTTTTTTTTTAAGCATTTAACCTTGCAGGCAAAAGGTAGGGTCCAAATAGTCGATTACGGTAGATACCTACCAATCCACACGTTCACACTAAATTCATGCTGAAAATTTCTTTCCCGAACTGCATGCGGATTTTCATGCGACCAAATATGTTGATTATGAAAATTTACCAGTCCACGTCTAGTGAAGCATGACTCATCGGTCCATAAAACGTTACTTAAAAACTCCCTATTATTATCAGTTCGATCAAGAATCTACTGCACAGGTTTCAAATGGTAAGGACGTCTATGGTCATTTCTAAGAACACGGTGAACATGGCTTGCTGAAATTCCCAAGGCACCAGAAATTCTCGTAACACTTGTGATCGGATCTCTATCAAACTCACGCAGAATAATACGGGTAAATCTGCACTGACGAACATTTATGTTTTGATCCCTTTGGAGATTTCCAAAACCATTTTCAATTATTTGGCGATGCACTCTTACAAATACTGAGCGAGTTGGATGTCGTCTGTTTGGAAATCTTCGTGCGTATTCTCTGGCTGCTTCTGCTGCGTTTCCATTTACAAAGCCATACACAAAATGAATATCCGCTAACTCTTGATTGGAGAATAAAAATGGCATTTTTATAAAACTTACAAAAAAAAACAGGTAAAAGAAACTAAATTTCGTGCATTCACAATTGCAAAAAAACGTTTCAGGTTTCAACAGACAACAAAACTAACTGTCAACTAATTGACGTTTAACCTTATCCTGCTTTCAATTTCAAAAATATTTGCAGGCACAGCCTACTTCTAAAGATTATCGAGATACTGACTTTTTAACGTTATTTTATCATAAATAATTAAAAATGCATCGAACCTTAAAATCGAAATATCTCAAAAACGCAGAAAAGTGCGAAGAATAAGTTTTTTATTCAAAAAACAAAAATTGCACTAAGAAAAAATGTTCGTACCAAAAAACCCTTGTATACCAGTTTTCACTGTTATACATCAAATATTGTTCGAAATATTTAAAAAAAACTATTTTAGAAAGTAAATTTAAACACCCTGTATTTCGGAAGCCACGCATTTTTCGACCGATGTTTATATAGACTTTATGCATTGATTTTAAATATTCTATCGAATCTTAAAGTTATGCAACAATAAACTGAAACACCCTGTACACCTAACCCAAAACTTTTTGAAATTTATTTTCCTGACTACTCATACAAAACTGCGTTGGAGTATTTTAGGGCTCTAAAAAAACGAGTTGCTTGGGATCCTCAGTGTGTGATTCAGATTTGGAATGTACACCCCCATCAGGAGTGCCCAATATTTTTCGTAAATGCGACAGCTACTTTACGCGATCCAATAAATTGAAAAGTGTTTTAACCTTGAAGGAATTGGAGCGTGTAAAGATAAAAATTGTTGTCAATTTTTTCACAGCAACAAATTCACAAATAAATTGAGAGATTAGATTAATTTTCCGTCAATTGTTTGGGGTATTCTAGTTACTTTTGGTTCTTTCTCCTAGATGCCAACCTTTGTTATTTGAGGCGTTCATGTTTTGTAATTTGAGATTATTATTATAATACGCACTGTTTCGCTTGGCGCTTTGATTTTAATTTATGATTTGATATTTCTACTGAAACAATGAGTATACAAGTATACGGTCATCTTTTTTCGATAAGGTTCATTATACATAGGTTAAGTTCTAGTATTTTTCCCTGAGGTTACTATTATAGGAAGTTACTATATGTATTGGTATGCTTGAATAAATTTTATCAGGTTAATTTCGCTACCTGTTACACTGAAGAAATTAATAAACTTTTTTTTCAATTTATTCGTGAATGTATTTGATTGTATGAAGCGGCTATCAGATTTATTTTCGATCACAAGTAATTCCTTTCTGTACTATGAGGCATAAAAATAACACTCAAACAGTAAAATTAATCAAAACTGGTAGCCTTCAAAAATTGACTTACCTAGGACGTATACCTCATCGCTGGCCAACGGCTGCCTTTCTGCAAATCCTATGGGGTTAAAAACAGAAATCGAGAGCCCTACACAAGTGTTGACCACCACTAAATCACTAAATTGTCCTTAATCTCATTTCATTTACCAAAACTTTAGAACGGTTATGCCATTTTAATCCGAACAGCATTACGCATTTGTCGTCTTTGTAATGGTGCGCACCACGTGTACACTCGCATAAGACAGCGCGCGAAATTTGAATATCGACGCATTGCTATTGCCAGACAAAACAAAACTGGCATCGTGCATACCGCGAACGCAGTGTTGCCAGAGCGAAGTTTACAATATCCGTCACACGTATCGCAAAGGGAGGCTTAAAATAAACAACAAATATATTTTTTACATATCTACTTTTTTTTAAACACTGTCTAAAAACCCTACTAAAAATACAAACAGTAACATAATATAATTGCAATTTTTCGTAAAAACATAAAAAGTATACCTCTAAAAAAACAAAACTGTCTTTGGTTTAGAATTAGGAACTAATAAAAAAAATAGAAACTATCACTAATATCTTAATCTTAATAGAAAAAAAAACAAAAAATAAGGACAAAGAAGAAGCGGAAACGTGGAAATGCCTACGTTTGCTTATTTTATTCACAGTCAGAATCAGAAATTACTTCTTCTTCAGCTTGTTCTTCCTTATTTACATTATATAAATTCTTTTTATATTTGTTTAAATGATTCTCATTAAAACTATAGGATAAACAGCACTGTTTTTTTTGATTCCAAGTCTAATTTAATTGTAAGTAGTGCAGACAAAGTTGATGGTATTATTTTATTTCTTTTTTTTGTAATCAATCATATAAGAAAAAGTTCGCTCAACATCAGCGTTTCCATGAGGCAATGTTAAAATGATTAGAGCCAGTTTACCTATATTGCGAAATAAATATTCGTCATTAAAATTTTTGAGGTCGTTTACAAACGACCAAGATTCAATGACATTACTTTTTGTTTTTAAAATTCCCTCTTTCTCACTATCACTAAAATAAATACATATTTTCTTTAGTTCCAAAATTGCCTTTTCGATTTCAATATGAAGGGCAAATTTTTTTAAAACGGCGTCATGAAAGGTATCACTTATAATAAGACGATTGTTCATCACATCAACCGGTGAGAGAAACTTTAGCTCTGAAAAGAAGTTGTCTTTGATAGGAAATCTTTTAAGGGACTCTTCTACCGATTTTTGGTAAAATGTGACACATTTTAATTTAAATTGTTCGATTGCCGTGTTATTGCAGTGGTTTATTGCATCCATTGTATGCGGATCAACATTCACTTGTTCAATTGGTAATAAGCAGTGGGGATCATTAGGATTTAGATTACATAATTTCTCATTTTTAAAATATTCTGGTCGCCTAAAGTTTGTACATACATGACGTACAAATCGCTCACTCTCTATTGATATGATATTGAGCATAACTTTCTCTGATTGAAAGAGAGCATTAAATTGGTTGAAAATGGGCAACACGAATTTAAAAAACATTAAATACGCCTTAACAAATGGATTCTGTAACTCATTAAGTATTACATTTGCTACAGGATTTTTGTCTCCAATGGAAGCTAATCTAAATAGGCTAAGCAAGATGTCCCACTGATCCAAAACTCTATCAACACATTTGGATAAAGCAAGCCACCTTGTTTTACTAGGGCTTAAAATTTTTAATTTTGACTCTTTGAAATATTCCTGTAATTCTTCAAGAACACACTGCCTTTTTGGGCTTCTTGAGAAGTAAGAATATAAGTTTTGTAAAAGAGCTTCGACGTTGCTTGGAATCTTTTCAGCTGCCGCCACCGCCACTTAATGAGCAGAGTGGCAAATGCAGCCATTGACAATTATATTAGAATTATCTTTTAAAAGATAAGTTTTGAAAGATTCGTTATTGCCCATCATAACACTAGCGTTGTCGGAACAGTATCCATCAATATTGGTAATTTTTACTTGATTGGATATAACGCATTTTTTAAAAAGAGAATATAAACCTTTGGCGGTACCTTCATCTGCGTTTATTTTAATTATATCTAATAAATGAGTTTTAATTGAATTTTTATGAATATACCTTACAAGAATGCATAGTAGTCTTGTATTGCTCAGGTCTCTACTCTCATCCAATAAAATAGAAAATGGTTTATTTTCCAATTCTGAAATTATTTCGTCTTTAATAACAGGAGCCAGCACATTTTTAATTATACTTATGCATTTGGATCTTTTTAATTTAAGTGAGCTAGAGAGATCTGGTTCTTTAAAACATAATTGACTAACTCCTGTTATATGATCAACAGTTCTAAAACTTATATAATGACTTACAACTAAAAGACTATATCTTAAGCAAGCAAATATTTGCCGTTTTTCCAACTCACGTGCTTCCCGAGACTGAAAAGTGCTATCTAACGTTCTTACATTCGAAATTGCTTGTACATTAGTGGCATGCCTTTTTGATTTCGAATGATTCACTAAATCTGATTTTTTAGCACCCATTATTTGATTACAAGCTTTACATTTTGCTTTCAACTTGTCATTTTCAATAGGTCCCAACCAGTCTTTAAATAACGGATCTTCTAGCCATGATGAAGTAAACATTTGTTTTCGTGTCTTTTCCTTAACAGGTTGTTTTGGCTCTTGGTTATCCTGAGATTCGCAAGTCGAATTATCAGGCTCAGACCTGATTCCACTAGATTCCGCTCTTCTATTTTGTCTGTATTCAGGTTCGGGATGCTCCGAGTCCGACACAGATGCAGTCGAAGTGGATGGTACGGCCACGTTTGGTTTCACCGTTTGTTTTTTAGAAGGATTTTTATCAAAAAAATCGTTAATGGTCTGCTGTCGCCTTTCCATTATTCCTATTTTCCAGAAGAAAAAGCGTTAAAAACAAATTTCGCGACTAAGATTTATTTCTGGATCAAACTATAATATTTTAGATATTCAAGTAGTTTTGTTACTTACCAGTAGATTTAATATTAAAATCTGCAGCAAATGATATATCAATAAAATGATCAACACAAAAATAAGAACACTAATATAAACGAAACTAAACAGTATATACCCAGAACTGAAAAATACAATACAAAGCGAGAAACCTAATATTATGTCTGCCTGCTGAGACCTGTTAGAAACGATTAGTATTGAAAGCAGTACGTATGCCATCTGTTATTGAAGAAAAAGGCAAGTGGAATAATTCTCTTCTCTGTTCCTAGATGGCTCAAGCGGCACCAAATGCACCAATTTTATTATTAATGTGATAATAAATCAGACTCTAGCCACTGCCTATTTAGGATTTAGAACGTTATTAACGTTAAAACAGTGAAATAGTTTAGTTAGATAGTTTTGTATGTAATAAATTCCGCTACATTTTGGGCTAATTTGCTATACCGCCGCTACGCCGCTCTTCTCAAAATAATCCGTTACAAATAGCGGAATTCCGCTACGTATGGCAACACTGCGCGAACGTTACAGAAGGCACTAGGTAACCATGACAACCCGAAAAACAAATGAAGAAGACCGGTGACGCAATTCTCGGAAAATTGTCTAGCCAGACATTCCGGTAGCGCACCGAAACAGATGTAGCAAGCATTTATATATTTGAATCATATTCCTGTCATCTTTTAAGGGCTATAGAAAAAAAACTATTTGGACAACTCAAATGGAGTTTTCACTATTAGGAAGCCTGATTTCTTGCGCTTATTCGCATGCCTGAATTTAATAGGAAACCATTTAATTATTTTTGTTGTACAGGGTGATTTAACTGAAATTCGCTATGCGGAATAAGTAGATGAACATTTTGTCTCTCGTTCTCACAAATAATGAGACTTGGTACATTTAAGGTATTTGATACGGTGAATCCGATTATGAGAGCAAAAAATGACGTCAAGTAGGTCGACTCTCTACTTCCCATGCAACGCTGTCATCAGTTGATAAATGACTATGTTCGGCACGAGAAAAAGACGAACATTTATAAAAAAATTACATTTATCGAGTTAGTCAAATTGGCCCATCCAATTAAAATTTGCATAGTTAGTAATGTACAATTTTGGGGCTTTTTAAATTTTTATTTACCCTGAAACCCTCTACGAATTTCTAACATACTGCTCAAAAATGACATCCCAGCAAGATAAAAATTTATTCGTAGGTATAGTACTGAGTCAAACACCTTAGCTATTACCTAAATACAATAAGCTATTTTTTTAACTGCTTGAAAGCTGTTTCATCATGTTTATCCATTGTGATTGAAAATGCATATGAAACAATTTTACAGGGACATAGCACCTAAGGTATGGCGTGCCTGCACCCAACCTAATGGCGACTTCTGCCGTATGCTTGACGTCGGAAATGGAACGGACGGCGATTGGGAGGATTTCGCAGCAATGTGCACCAATGCCACTGGGTTGGCCATGGTCACGTGTGACACGTGGGAGTTTGGCGGTGAAGGTAAATGTCATTATTGTCGCTTGAACATATTTGATGAAAGAACTTCATTGGATTTGATAAGAAAATGGATTTTTGTGAGCATTGTACACATCAATTATGTAATTAGACAGACAATAATGAGACTAGATCGAATAATGATATTAATAATAATAAAACAATAGATATAATAATAAAACAAGTATAAGCAGTCCAATAACTATACAAATTAAAGCATTCGCAGATACATGTCTTGAACCGTATCGTCAGTCGCTCCTACAATTTATTGTAGGTCGCGTTCATGGCCTCCTTGATTTTCATAGTTTTTCCTGTCCTTCAGAAAGATAGGGGTATTTCTAGATTCCTAGTGTTTCGTGTCAACTCTCCTTTTTGAGGTTATATTTTCTTTTTAAATTCTAAGAAATTTCACGCTGATAAAACTTGATTCTTATCATCTATCCTGAAATTTCTTAAGATCCAAACAGAAAACATAATCTTACAATAAGAGACCGCTGACGCTGATACGGAACAGTGGAGATCTAGTAATACCCCAGCCTTTCTGAAGGAGTGAAAGACTGTTAAAATCAAGGAACGACAGATAGTACGGCCCTAAAGCCCGATTTTACTGTTGGTCAGCGAGAATAAAGTTTGCGCCTTTGACACAAATTTGACCAATGAGAAGGCGTCTTTGAAGTAATGGATCCAAGGAACTTGGTCGATTACTTTTAAAATGTCTCTCAAACTAGAGAAAAATTATAGATTTTTGTAAGATGGGCTTCTAATTAACATCTTAACAAATCATATGTACTCCATATATCAAATGAATCATCAACAAAAACCTATTTGTCATTTTGATGCAAATTCCACCAATCAAATAGAACGACTTGTGGCCTACTCAAAACATCGATCAAACCTGAAACAATACATTAACACGACGCCATTATTTTAATGAAAATAACAATCTCACTGTTGCTGTGCAGAATTAAATTCAGTAAATGTAAAATAAAATTACAGAATGCTCATTCTTTAAAAAACATCGAATGAATAATCAATTAACTTGACTACCGTGCATAAACCCCTGTTCCTCGAGCCAGCCCTGTTACTGGGAGATGTCGCTCACTCTACTGGACAGTAGGACGACTACGCGAACCCGCTGCGCTGCAGTGGCAGTGGCAAGGCTAGAAGCAGCGCCACCTTCAACTAACACTATACAGACATTTCTAACAAGCACCGATTCACACACATTTTAAACACATCAAAGCACGATTTTATACTACCTAAAATAAATACTTTCTGCACGGTTTGAAGAGCAAAACTAAGTAGATTACTCTGGTTTGTATGAATTGCACTGTTCCCAGAGATTTACAACAAAATTGCACCAAAAAGTCGGAGGTTAGGAATATAAACAAACGAAAAGCCCGGCAAACACCTGTCTGTGGAAGACCCCAAAGCTGCGTTGCCATATCTACTGTTCATGGCTCGTTAGTTGAAGGTGGCGCTGCTAGAAGTAATCATCCTGCCGCCCAGCCGAGGGCGCGGGAGCTTCCTGTTAACAGGGCTGGCTTAAGGAACTGTTTTTTCACACGGTAGTCAGATAAATTGAATATGTAGTCGATGTTTGTAAAAGAATAAGCACTCTGTAATTTTATGTATGTCCTCAAAGAACCTATCAAGCAGAATTTTGTATAGCAACAGTCAGAATAAAATGCTCATTTAAAGATATTGCGTTTTCATTGGTGCATTTTATGACCGAGTCCGCTGATTTAGTATTAAAAACAGTTTTTTGTAGAAAAACCAAGTGACCTATGACGTACTTCTTACTACACAAACCGTATAATTATTGTTCTCTAGTTTGAGAGACATTTTACAAGAAATCGACCATATTGGTTACATCCATTAAGTACTTTAAAGATGCTTAGTAAAATCTACTATTAACAATGTTGACGGTCAGTCATTTTCACGGTCATTTTCTTATCAAATCCAGCGAGATGATCGTCAAATAAAGCTAACGTTGATATTCTATTGTTGCAGGTTCAACGATTATATCCGAATTTAATTTGGTCTGTGATAGAAAAAACTTAATAAACTTCGCTGAGATGATGTTTCTCGGAGGTGTAGCTATAGGTGGTTTAGTGTGTGGTATTTTGTCGGACAAGTACGGTAGAAAAAGGACTTTAATGGCTTCAGTTTTGATACAAACTATCTTAGGTAAGTAATTTCTTCTCTAGAAGAACCCATTTTATTTGTGAATACCGTTTAAAGTAAATCTGAAGAAGTGTTTTCAATTTTGTCGGATCTCCAAGCGATCTAGTGACATCTGACCGACATGGATCATATATATTGATATAAAAAATTAAAAATCGGTATGACGTCAGCTTGTGTACTATAGTTAGGCCATAGGACCTATGAATGGCCCCACTAGTCCCATCTCTAAAGGTGATGTTACGTCACGCGAGAGCCAAACCATAACGCCCAAGTGCCATGACGTATAGGCAACACGCACAGCTGCTACAAGTGAACATCAAGTGGATGACGACTAGATCCGAGGTGACGTTTTTCGGAAGAACCTACGAAAAATCGACAAAGCGTCACTCCACTTAATACGGTCGCGGATATCTTGTGTTCTTACAAAGTGCCAGTGGTTAGCATCTTGGGATAAAAGATATGCAGATCGGATGATCCAATGTCCGGAATAAAACGTATCCCCTATACCCCTATGAGACTACCTCAACAGGACAATAGATATAACATAACTCAATAAAAATGACTAATACGCAAAGTTGGGGTTTTCCTTTTCAGAAACAACTACCCTTGAAATAACAAAGGTAACGTGTAGTGAAACGAGGGCCACCAAGTAAAAAAAAAATAAAGGAAAAAGTACTCACTCTCCAGTTGACGAGAAGGGCTAAGTACGTCTCTGCCCGAAATCATACCGCTCCAACAGAAAATGAAATCAGCTGATGCGCTACCGAGCAGACGCAGGCAAACAAGGAAGGCAAAATGTTGCGTAAAAAGTCTAGGTATTGCATCCCGTCCAATCGATTTGGGAGAATAAATGGTCCAATGAGCATACCGTTCACCATGCCAGCCCAAACATTCACCGAAAATGTTTGTTGAAAATGTGCCCGACGGACAGCGTGCGGATTTTCTACTGACCAAACATGAGTGTTGCGAAAGTTATTCACCCCATTACGCGTGAACGTAGATTCGTCTGTCACCAATATGCACTTCAAAAAGTCCGGATTATTGTCATGTTGATGCAACGACCACTCACAAAACCGCACTCTTGCTGAAAAATCGTCAGGTTGAAGGGCTTGTACACGTTGGACGAGAAACGGATACAGCCCCTCTTCACGCAGCGTTTGCCACACTTTAGTTCTCTAGCCACGTCTCTAGTGCCTGTTGAGGGATTCTCGTCTACGCGATTACCTCTACACGCGTGACCGTAACCGTCGGTTGAAGGTTGCAGACTGACCTGACATACTGACCCCGACCCAGTTCTGTTGTCGGGTTGAGCTAGTGTCCTAGTACCACTCGGGGATGTCGCGGCTACAGGACGGTATTCAGATATTTTTGATGTTGCAGAGCCCTTTATCTCGGTTCCCTTAAGACATTGGTGTATATGGTACTAAGAAAAATTGCTTATGTTTTCAAGATCTACACGTCGTGTAAAGGAAAACCCCAACTTTGCGGACACCCTGTATATCAGGGACCCCCACTCAGCTGAATTCTGCTAACAAACACATCATTTTGAATTTTCTTCCAGGTTGCGCGATAGCCTTCAGTCCTTGGTTCCTCGTGTACGCCATCTTGCGAGCCTTGCTAGGCTTCATCTCAGTATCAGTCGTGTTCAGCGGTTTCGTGCTGGCCATTGAACTTGTTGGAGGTCATTGGAGGACAGTGGCTGGTATTTCCTACCTCTTCCCGGTCTCAGTAAGCTATATGACCATCGCTGGATTAGCATGGGAACTCAGGGAGTGGAGACAGTTGCAGGCGGCCATATCGTTGCCAGGATTCTTATTTCTTGGACTGTGGTAGGTTCTTGTTTGTACTTTTAAGTTGTTTTGATCATTCTACATCTTGACATTCATATAGGCAAAGTGGACAATGTAGACAATGCGCGTAATCCAGGTATCGGAAGTAATTTACTGCAAATCAGTCTGCATAAGAGGTATTCCTAAGCCTACCTGGTTATTGCTGTTCAATTACTGCCTTCATTATACTCAAAAAGTGAAGTTATTTACTTCGAAAACAGTTCGGGAACTGATTAAAATTAAATGGAGACGTGAAACACTTAAAACAATGCGTTAACCAATTTAATTATTTCACTTATTTTGACCGCATAGCAAATTATTTCTACGGTGTATACTATACAGGGTGTACCGAAAAAAATGTGCAATATTCTACCAACGGTTTCTAGCGCTTAAAATAGGAAGAAAAGTTTATATAAACATAGGTCGACAAACGTCCCCTAAGGGCGCTACGGTCTTTTAAAGGGGCTCCCCTGAAGCTGGTTTTGCTAATATCCACTCCACTAGATTCGTGGTAAAAAATCTGCCTCCGTTAAGTGCTGCACCCGTTTAAAATGATAAGGATGTAATCCTTGTCATTCTTCCTATCTAAAATTATTATTTTTAGGATAACTATCAAATAGGTATTCATAAATTTTTCTTACTATTGATCGAGGTATATCCATAGTTTCTGAAACATTTCGTATGCGTATTTGCGGATTATTTCCAAACATATTTAAAGCAATATCCATAAGATGATTTCCCAGTGGCCTTCCTGAGCCCTGCATGCGCTGAAAACTTCCATGGTTTGACAAATTCCGGTGAATATCAGTAAACATTCGACGTCCAGGTACTATGCGATTGGGAAATCTTGTTTGATATTCTCTTACGGCTGCCAATGTACTGAAATTGCAAAACTCGTACACAAAATGCATGTCAGTCAGTTCTCTGTCTGTAAATCTTGGCATTTTAAATCGATTTAATAAAAATTTTCATTCTAATCTAGTAATTTTACACTGCTAACAATGTCAGCTTAACGTGAAAATAAGTCATAACAAATCAAAACAACTTTTGTTTGCAGTCATGGTTAACTATGTATAATCAACAATTCATTTAAATTCGCAGCACATTGTCTATCATGTGACAAATTTTTTAGTTGGATTTTATTAAAAAATGGCACAATTTATCGATATTCAATAAGAGTACCTTTTTATGTAAAAAACCCTAAATTTTCAAATTCTTAAATTGAATTACAAAAATAAAATCACACAAAAATGTTGGGGCTAAAATAACCTGAGTCCGTCTCTGTTACATACGCTTCCGAACAAAACTGTCTAAAATTGTTAACATTTTTAAATCCAGCACAAAAAACTAGGCTAGAATACCAAATTTTATGACTTTATCTCAACACGTTTCGGAAATATTAAGGAAAAACCATCTTCAGGGGAGTCCCTTTAAAAGACCGTAGCGCCCTTAGGGGACGTTTGTCGACCTATGTTTATATAAACTTTTCTCTTCTAAGCTCTAGAAACCGCTGGTAGAATATTGCACACTTTTTCCGGGACACACTGTATATAGTTGGGAATGTAATAAACCAGAGAACTTCCATAAATATGGTTACTAAGAAGGTATAGTTTTTTGTATTACTGAATTTAAGGTTTTTAATTTACCCCACACAATTTTACGAGTTTGGAAGGTCCTTCCGCGCTAGACACGTCATGTCAAAGTATAAGTCACTTTCCGGGATAAAAATGCGCTATTCCAGACAACAAACCTATCTCTGCACCAAATTTCAGCCAGATCCGGTCAAATCATTTGGACGTGATTGAGTAACAAAAATTCACACTTTCTCGTTTATAGTAGTAGTCAACCTACTTGACACTTTTTTTTTGCAGCATCTAAGCGTGATCGTGTTGGACGATATTTCAATGCGGGAGTTCACCATGGATAGGTTCTGACTACAACATTGTTTTTGTTGCACTTTAGTACCAATTGCTATCTACAAGCTTTGCTTGTTTGTTGAAGACTTATTTATTCAGCATTACACAGTTTTTTTAATCTTTTGAATCTGCAATTTTTCCATTCTTGTCTGTTAAAATTATATCAATATCCATTTTGAGTATCCATAAAGTGATTTTACGTCTAATAACCATAGAAGTTGACGCCGTCAGAAAAAAAAATTGTAATTTCAACCTAAACATTTTTAAATTCGAACACTGTTTAATATCATTATTTAATTTATTAAATTCAATTGCTGCCTTTTGAAATACAGATTTGCCAGTTATGCTACTGTTACAATTTTGCAGATGAAAATCTATACAGCCTCTAGTTTCGTAGTTATGATAATGACTATTTAATTTTGTTTTCCAAGTGTGGTGGTGATGATAAATGATTTTTTAATTTGAATATGAAAATGAGAACTAAGTAACATATGAAATTTTTTATATTCAACCATTGTAGTTCTTCTAATATAGACTTAATCGTAGCATATTTGTTTTTATTTAAAATGATTCTCATAGGTTTATTTTGTAGAATTTGCAATTTTGAAAATATGTTTTCATTTCCTGTAAACAAGATGGTTCAAAAATATAAAAAAATTGATTGATTGATTGATTGGAAAGAATTATAGTGTTATACACAATTTTTTTGAATTACATACTAAAATTGTGGGAACCTCTATAAAGCTAATTTATCTTCTTTGATATTTTTAAAATAATGTCATATTGCTCGTGAGATAGTATATACCCAGATATTTTTCATCATTAATCATGAGCGCAATTCTATTATCACCTAAATACCTAAATGCTTCCCTATTGACATACATTTTGTTTTATTAATGTTTAATTTAAGTTTATTAACATTTAACAAATTCATAATTTTTTAATATCACTATTTAACCATTCTAAAGCAGTGTACAATAATGTGCTACAAATATATCAATGGATCGTTCGCAAGTATTTGAATTTCGCAGTGCTCTAAAATGTCAAATATCATTTATACAGGGTGTCCCGAAAAAAGTGTGCAATATTCTACCAGCGGTTTCTAGAGCTTAAAATAGGAAAAAAGTTTATATAAATATAGGTCGACAAACGTCCTCTAAGGGCGCTACGGTCTTTTAAAGGGGCTCCCCTGAAGATGGTTTTTCCTTAATATTTCCGAAACGTGTTGAGATAAAGACATAAAATTTGGTATTCTAGCCTAGTTTTTTATGCTGGATTTAAAAATATTAACAATTTTAGACAGTTTTGTTTTTAAGCGTATGTAACAGAGACGGACTCAGGTTATTTTAGCCCCTAAATTTTTATGTGATTCTATTGTTGAAATTCAATTTTAGAATTTGAAAACTTAGGGTTCTTTATATAAAAAAGGTACTCTTATTGAATATCGATAAATTGTGCCATTTTTGAATAAAATCAAACTAAAAAATTTGTCAAATGATTGGAAATGTACTGCGAATTTAAATGAATTGTTGATTATACATAGTTAGCCATGACTGCAAACAAAAGTTGTTTTGATTTGTTATGACTTATTTTGACTTTAAGCTGACATTGTTAGCAGTGTAAAATTACTATGAGTCAATATTTACTAGGAATGGTGCTTCTAATTTCCATAACATGCATCACTGGTCAGATGAAAATCCAAAAGCTGTTCGACGTACAAATTTCCAACATAGATTTTCATTGAAGGAGTAATTGGGGATCAAATAATTAGGCCTATTGTACTTCCCAATCGTCTTAATTCAGAGGTGTATCTGAACTTTCTTCAGAATGAGCTCATGGATATAATACCATTGGATGCGCGCCAGCAGTGTCAAGAAAATATGTTTTTTCAACATGATGGCGCCCCTGCACATTTTGGACGCAAAGTTCGAAATTGGTTGAATGTCAATTTTCCAGACAGGTGGTTAGGAAGAGGAGGTCCTATAGCGTGGCCGCCACGTTCACCTGACCTAAATCCATTGGATTTATATTTTTGGGGGTCATTAAAAGCCCTACTTTACTCGACTGAAGTAAATACTCAAGAAGATACACTTCAAAGAAACTATCAGGCTGCAAATGAAATAAGAAGAAAAAGGTTTTCCACTTTTCGGGCTACGCAATCATTAGATCGTCGAGCGAGACTCTGTATCCAACAAAATGGGAATTTATTTGAACACTTATTGTAAAGCAAGTTTTAAGTATATCCAACTGTACGTCTTCTTTTTTAAACAAATTTCAATTTCGTTCGTAGAAAAAAATTATTTCTTTTGTTTTTGCCTAAATGTTAGATATGTTGCAATAGAAATATGTATTTATGTAATATTTACCAATTATTAAATTACATTTTCGTTGCCATGGATAATTATTCAAGAATTCATTTAAATTCGCAGTACATTTCCTATCGTGTGACAAATATTTTAGTTTGATTTTATTCAAAAATGGCACAATTTATCTATATTTAGTAAGAGTACCTTTTTTATGTAGAAAACCTTAAATTTTCAAATTCTAAAATTGAATTTCAAAAATAGAATCACACAAAAATTTAGGGGCTAAAGTAACCTGAGTCCGTCCCTGATACATACGCTTCCAAACAAAACTGTCTAAAATTGTTAATATTTTTAAATCCAGCATAAAAAACTAGGCTGGAATACCACATTTTATGTCTTTATCTCAACACGTTTCGGAAATATTAAGGAAAAACCATGTTCAGGGGAGCCCCTTCAAAAGACCGTAGCGCCCTTAGGCAACGTTTGTCGACCTATGTTTATATAAACTTTTCTTCCTATTTTAAGCTCTAGAAACCGCTGGTAGAATATTGCACACTTTTTTTCGGGACACTCTGTATAGGTATATCATAGTAACGGCCCTAATTAACTCCCCTGTGGCACCCCTACTGATATATTTTGAACGTTTGACATAATATGTTTAACTTTAGTTTGTTGACTTCTATTTGCTAAATAATGTTTAATGTTCAATGCTGATTCTTTAAAACCATAGTGATACAATTTCAATTCCCTATCTATAGTCTCAAATCGCCCTTTGAAG